ACCAACAGAAAAATGGAAAAAAAAAGTGGCACAAAATAAACTATGAAAAGGATACTTGTTTTTAGTATGAGAGCTAAAACAAGAAAGCAGAGTGTTGCTTTGTTCCACATCAGCTGGGACTGTGCAATGTTGAGTGACTCAGATTTTTCACCACTTTGAGCATATCCACTAATGACCACAAAAGCTCTATGAGTATTGATTATTGGATTAAAAGTAAATTTTAGCAAATAGGCAAATTCGCAAAAAAAAAAAAGCTTATGTTTTCAATTTTATATGGTGATTATTGAATCTATTGACAGAATAATGAGGATCAACATAATGTGGTAAGTGCTCTGTATTGTAAATATGCTAGGATAGGTCAGGGAAGGTTTCATTTTAGACAGTTAAGGTGAAGTTACAGCAGTATGAAGCAATGAATCTTCGGAATGGCAAATGGTCCAGTGTGGTTGGAATAAAAGGGCCGCTATAAGAAGAGGCAAGTGGGGATGTTTGGACTAGCCAGCTACCAGAGGAGGATGTGAAAGCCCTTACGCTATATTAAGGAATTTTGATTCTGTAGGCGATGGGACACTGTTGAGTGATTTTAGCCAGGGGAGAAACATGGTCATGTTTATATTTCAGAAAGCTCACACTGCTAGTGGTATTGTATAGATGAAGTAAGGAAAATAAATACACTCATGCCTCAGAGATATCATGGGTTCAGTTTTGGACTGCCACAATAAAACATATCACAAGCAAATCACACAAATTTTTTGGTTTCCCATATAAAAGTATGGTTTACAGTATACTGTAGATTACTAAGTATACAATAGCACTGTGTCTAAAAAAATGTACAAACCTTGATTTATAAACATTTTAAAGCTTAAAAATGCTAACAATCATCAGAGCCTTCAGAGAGTTGAAATCTTTTTGCTGGTGGAGAGTCTTAACCTTGATGCAAGCGGCTGCTGACTTAACAGGGTGGTGGTTACTGAAGGTTGGAGTGGCTGTGGTATTTTCTTAAAATAAGACAGAAATAAAGTTTGCCACATCGATGAACTGTCCTTTATTGGTAATATGTGATGCTGTTTGAGAACATTTTATCTATAAGAGAACTTCATTCAAAATTGGATTAAATCCTCTCAAACCCTGCTGCTACTTTACTAGCTAAACTTATGTAATATTCTAAATTCTTGCTGTGATTTCAACAATATTCACAGCATCTTCACCAGGAGTAGATTCCAGCTCACGAAACCACTTTTTTTTGCCCACTTATAAAAACCAACTCCTCTTCTGTTGAAGTTTTATCATGAGATTGCAGCAGTTCAGCCACATCTTTGGGCTCCACTTTTACTTGTCATTCCTTTGCTATTTCCACCACATCTCCAGTGACTTATCCACTTAAGTCTTGAATCCCTTAAAGTCATTGATAAGAGTTGGACTCAACTTCTTTCAGACTCCTATGAATCAACATTTTGAAGCATGTTTTGTCCTCCCATGAATCACAAGTGTTCTTAATGTCATAAATGGTGAATCCTTTCCAGAAGGTTTTCAATTTGCCCACATCCTTCAGAGGAATTACTATCTACGGCCGCTATCATCTTATGATATGTATTTCTTAAATAAGATTTGAAAGTCAGAATTACTCCTTGATCCATGTGCTGCAAAACAGATGTTGCATTAACAAGCATGTATTCATCTCCTGTGCATGTCTGTCAGAGCTCTTGGGTGACAAGGTTGAGTTATCATGAGCAGTAATATTCAGTAAACCTTGTAAACTGATGTGCTTTCATCAAGGGTTTGTTCCATTTATAGTGCACAGTTAGAGTAGATTTAGAATAATTTTTACAGGACATAGGATCTTTCAGAATAGTAAATGAACATTGGCTTCAGCTTAAAGTCACCAGCTGTATTAGCCCCTAACTAAAGAGAGACTGTCTTTTTAAATATTGAGGCCAAGCATTGACTTTTCACTAACTATAGAATCCTGTGTGACTAATATAAGGCTATTTTATCTGCATTGAAAATCTATCTGTTGTGTAGTATAGCCACCACCTTCATCAATGATCTTAGCTAGATCTTTTGGGTAACTTGCTGCAGCTTGTACTCGGCACTTGCTTCTTCACCTTGCACTTTTATGTTAGGAGGTAGTGTCTTTCCATAAACCTCATGAACAACCTGTGCTAGCTTCAGGCTTTTCTCCTGTAGCTCTTGACTTCTCAGCCTTCACAGAATTGAAGGGAGTTAGGGCCTTACTCTGATTAGGCTTTGGTTTAAGAGAATGCTGTGACTACTTTGATGTCCAGACCACTCACGTTTTCTCCATGTCATCAATAATGCTGTTTTGCTTTCTCATCATTCCTGTGTTCACTGGAATAGCACTTTTAATTTCCTTCAAGAACTTTTCCTTTGCATTCACAGCTTGGCTGTTTAGCTCAGGAGGCCTTTTCAACCTCTGCTTTCAACTTGCCTTCTTTATTAAAATTAATCATTTCTAGCTTTTGATTTAAAGTGAGAGACATGTGACTCTTCCTTTCACTTGAACACTTAGAGATTATTGTAGAATTATTAGTTAGCTTAATTTCAATATCATCATGTCTCAGGTTTTAAGGAGATCTGAGGAGAGGGAGGCAAGGAATGGCCAGTTGGTAGACCAGTCAGAACACATACATTTATCAACTGCCTTATAAGGGGATGATTCATGGTGCCCCAAAACAGTTACAGTAGTAACACCAAAGAGCACTGATGTGATGAATATGCTCATTACCTTAACTCCATCATCATATGTTATATGTATTGAACTGTTACCCCATGAATATGTGCAATTGTTGATTTAAAAAAGATTACTCATCATAGATCACCATAACTGATAAAATAATAATGAAATAGTTTGAAATACTGTGAAAATTACAAAAATATGACACAAAGACATGAAGTGAGCACATGCTGTTGGAAAAATGGCTTTAATAGATTTGATATTTATTGCTGGGTTGCCACAAACAGTTTTTTAAAAAAACAAAATGTCTGCAAAGCACAATAAAATGAAGTGTAGTAAAATGAGGTATGCCTGTAAAATGTTTTAGATGTTCAGGTGAGAGATGATGAGAGAGTGAACTAAGGCAGTAACAATGGAGATAGAGAAAACAGGATATTACTTGAGAAATATGCAAGATTTAAATTGAAAGTTTTTCATGACAGATTAGATAGAGGGAATAAAAGAGACTGAAAAAGCTATTCATGGGTGCTATTAAGATAGGCAATACAGGAGCAAGACCAGATTTAGTAACATAATTTCTGGACATGCTCATTTTTGTGCCCATGGGAGATTTCTGTGGAGATGTAGGCAAGGAAATATGAATCTTAAGCTCGGGTGATACAGCTTTGAGAGATATCAGATATTGAAATGTATTTGAATGTCTACTGTGTGTCAAGGCACTTTCATAGTGCCATAGTGAGGCTTGTTAATGTTTCCCCTCACTAAAAATTCACAGAACAATGAGTGAATTTTTAGTGAGGGGAAACATAACAAGCAAAAAATAATTTCAGATGAGTACTGTGACGAAAATGAAATTAATAGGATGAAGAGTATGTAAGGGTGGTAGCATCATTTATTGGATGTTTGAGTTCACTTTCTGGTGATGTAATAGTTACACTGTGACAAAATGAAGAGACTATTGATATGCGTGTGGATCTCTGGGAAGAGTATTTCAAGGAAAGAGAACAGAAGATGGTAAAGATGGGAAATGATTGATGGGAGATGAACTGGTCTAGTTTAAAAACAGAAAGGAGCCCAGTGTGACTGGAGACAAGCATAAAAAGGAAAAGAGTTGGAGAAGTTGAACACAGAGAAGTATAGTGGGTACCAAATCATGAAGGCCCTCAGTGGCCATGGTCAAGAATGTGGCTAGTTTTCTTTTTTTTTTTTTTTTTTTAATTTTTTATTGGATTATAGGTTTTGGGGTACATGAGCAGAGCATGCAAGACAGTTGCGTAGGTACACACATGGCAGTGTGCTTTGCTTTTCTTCTCCCCTTCACCCACATTTGGCATTTCTCCCCAGGCTATCCCTCCCCACCTCCCCCTCCCACTGGCCCTCCCCTTTTCCCCCCAATAGACCCCAGTGTTTAGTACTCCCCTTTCTGTGTCCATGTGTTCTCATTTTTCATCACCCACCTATGAGTGAGAATATGCGGTGTTTCATTTTCTGTTCTTGTGTCAGTTTGCTGAGGATGATGTTTTCCAGATTCATCCATGTCCCTACAAACGACACAAACTCATCATTTCTGATTGCTGCATAATATTCCATGTTGTATATGTGCCACATTTTTCCAATCCAGTCTATCATCAATGGGCATTTGGGCTGATTCCAGGTCTTTGCTATTGTAAACAGTGCTGCAATGAACATTCGTGTACATGTGTCCTTATAGTAGAACGATTTATAGTCTTTTGGATATATACCCAGTAATGGGATTGCTGGGTCAAATGGAATTTCTATTTCTAAGGCCTTGAGGAATCGTGTGGCTAGTTTTCTAAGTACAGTGGGAAGCCTTTGTATAGTTTTAGCAGGAGTGTAACAAAATCTGTTTTATGTTTTAAGATGACGGCTCTAGCCACTCTGGGGAGAATATTGTTGAGAATTAGAGTGAAAGTAAGGGAACTGATCAAGTGACTACTGCAGCAGACGGGCAAGAGATGATGGTGGCTTAGATTAGGGGTATAACAGTGAACAGGCAAGGGAATCAGATGGCTTTTCTTCAGCCAGCTCCATCATGACTTAATTGAAGAACCAGTTTTTCATTGGATCTGTTGTGAATTCTAGGTATTTTTGTAAGTACATATATAAAGTATTATTTTGAAAACAGACCTATGAATAATATTTATTCTAAAATCACATAGTTTTGAGATTTAAATTAGAATATATGATAAAATATCTCAGTGATCCTATAGTCCTATTTCATGTATATGGATGTTTATTGGTATGTAAAACATTTTCATACAATTTTGATTCATTATACTACATATTTTCTTATAATAATGAAGTTTTAACTTGCTTTGTTAATTAGTGGTTGGGTGAATAAAAATGTATTGAAAGCGGGACTACTACATTGTGAGAGTAAATTGGCAACAGTGCTATTTATTTCAGCTCTGTTTAAAAAGAAAAAAAGGAATCTCCATATATCTAGCTTTCTCCTGTGTGAGCACTGTACTTTCGCAAGATACTTCTGGACATAGTAGAAAGCATGGACTGTGGTGGGGAGAGATTGTGGATTAGTAGACCAGTTAAGAAGTTTTTAAAAGTAGTCTAGACAAGAGAAGATTCAAAACTCTAAACCAGACAGTGAAATTTTTAGAGTGAAATTGTGATGAAAGATTGCTTTGAGACTTTTATGAAGTAGAATGAAAAGATTTGAGGAAGAATTAGATGTCAGGGGCTTAGGAAGAAGAAAAAAATGGATGATACTGAAATTATAAGCATCAGAGAATGCATAGTTAGTGATGTCATAATATAAATGAGAGGTCGAATCTATAGTCAGGGTAGGCTTGGTTAAGAGTCAGTGAGTAGTTTTGAAAATGGTAAATTAAAGGCACCATCTTTGGGACTCCTGGGGAAAAACACAAAGCAGTTGGAGAAAGGTGAGTGCTGTAACTAATACTTGGAAATTATCATCATATAGAAACTAGTTGAAGCCTCAGAAATAAATAAGATCACTCAAGAAGAGAATAGATACCGTCAGCAGTGATAGTCTGTCCTTAAGTAGGATGAGGACAGAATATGTGATTTGTTTGTCAGTTGTCATTCCTGATCTTTTCCAGGAAGTTTGAGGAGAGCAGTGGCTGAGATGGCACGGGTGGAGAACTAGAAATATAACGCACAGAGCAGACTACTCTTTGAAGGGTGTGGTTGGGGAAAAGGAGGGAGATAAGGCTGTGACTTAAAAGAGAAGTGGGGTTCCATATAAGGATTTTAAAAAGTTATTAAGGATGGAGAAGATGTCAAACATTTATAGAAGCAGAAATATCAAATGAAAAAATATTGAAGTTTTAGAGAAATAACCCATGGATCATGGTTCCACAATGAATAGGAAGGAGTTGATTCTTCGACAGGTAGTAGTATCCTTGTAGAGGAGAAAGGGCATACTTTCTCCTGAGATTTAAGGAATAGAGTTAAGGAATGGTGGTATTGTATTTGATTCTGCAAGTGAACAGGAATTTCAATAAATCATAGGTGATAGACTCTTTTTTTCTTTTTTTCTTCTGACAAAATAATCTTTTGACAATTTAGAGTGGTAAATATTTGAAATAGAAAATACGAGAGAACTTGAGAAGGGGCAAGTAATAGAATTGTACAGCAGTATTTGGGAGCTTATTTCTTTTCGTAGGACCAGGGCAATTGAGAATATTGCCATACTTGGAGATAAGAATAGGAAGGAAGGCCCTGAAATGAAAGAAAGAGCTGTGAGAAATAAAAGATGAAGGCAGATGATTACCTCATGATTTACCTTGGGTTACCTACACTGAAATATGTGCAGGCAAACTATAGCCAGGCCACTGGGCAGATCTTTTCACTGAGTCCAAATGTGAACTACATGATTAATGCTGTTTTATCAAACCAAAATACATAAAGGAAGTTCAAGCAGAAAATTATTATGGAAAAGGACTTGTGAAAAATTCTACAACATTTGGAATAGATACTTTCATGTAACTTAAATTTATGAAGGACAAGTTATTCCTTTTTTAGTTCGTTTAATTAGTGTTTTTCAAAGTGTACCCAGCTCAATCTTTAATTGCCAGTAGTAAAGGGCTAGGAAGGATATCAAGTTGTCTGTAGTGTTGATGCTTGCCATAGGGAAACTTACAGTGAGAAAAATGTATTGAAATAGTACCATTGTTCAATTGTAATTTCATCTATTTATTTATTTATTTTTTTTTTTAAATTTTTTATTGGATTATAGGTTTTGGGGTACATGAGCAGAGCATGCAAGACAGTTGCGTAGGTACACACATGGCAGTGTGCTTTGCTTTTCTTCTCCCCTTCACCCACATTTGGCATTTCTCCCCAGGCTATCCCTCCCCACCTCCCCCTCCCACTGGCCCTCCCCTTTTCCCCCCAATAGACCCCAGTGTTTAGTACTCCCCTTTCTGTGTCCATGTGTTCTCATTTTTCATCACCCACCTATGAGTGAGAATATGCGGTGTTTCATTTTCTGTTCTTGTGTCAGTTTGCTGAGGATGATGTTTTCCAGATTCATCCATGTCCCTACAAACGACACGAACTATTTAAAGTGTTCTTTCACCTGTAGTCCCAGCTACTCGGGAGGCTGAGGTAGGAGAATTGTTTGAACCTGGAAGGCGGAGGTTACAGTGAACTGAGATAGTGCCTGGGCGACAGAGCAAGACCATCTCAAAAAAAAAAAAAAAAGTGTTTTTTCACTAGATTGAACAAATTATCAGATTGCCTAAGTTTCTTATAACCAGAAGTCTTTCATGTAAGAAATGTGAGGTTAAAACTTAAATAATCTGTTATTCTTAGATTGGATAATCTGCTGTTTCACTGAGTTAGGACCTCTTTGGACTTTGTAAATTTCTGAAACCATGCTAAATAAATAAGCCTATTATTTGCAAGGTTTTATCTGGACACACGGAATCAAAGTTTTCTAATATTTGGACTGTCTTTTAATACTCCATGCAAGGATTCTGTGTGCATTGTTGCTGTGTTTCACTGTCTTGTTAATGTGCGCATTCATGCCCAGAAGGGATGACTGGGAGGCATTATATCTTTGAAGAAGATAATTTGTTTCCAGCTTATTTTTAATTGTCAAAAATATTTTTTGTGCTTATTTTTAATGCAGTGCTTTGTATATACTTGTATGAAATACTTTTCCTGGTACTTTAGAGGGTGATATAAGCAAAAGTAAACAACACACCAAGTGTTGAATGAGGTAGGAATAAAATACAGTCGTGCATCACTTAACAAAGGGGATACATTCTGAGAAATGCATCATTGGGCGATTTCATGATTGTGCAGAATGTACTAACACAAGCATAGATTGTGCTAACACACACATAGCTGGTATAGTCTATATACATGCAGGATATTATGGCCTATTGTTCGTAGGCTACAAATCTGTAAAACATTCTACACCTGTGGCTTACCATGAATGGAGCTTGGAGAACTGGAAGTTGCTCTGGGCCAGTGAGTGGTGAGTGAATGTGAAGGCCTAGGACATTATTGTACACTACTGTAGACTATAAGCACTGTACATTTATGTTACACTAAATTTATTTATTTGGAGACAGAGTTTCACCCTTCTTGCCCAGGTTGGAGTGCAATGGTAATCTTGGCTCACCGCAACCTCTGCCTCCCAGGTTCAAGTGATTCCCCTGCCTCAGCCTCCCAAGTAGCTGGGATCACAGACTTATGCCACTATGACTGGTTAATTTTGTATTTTTAGTAGAGACGGGGTTTCACCGTGTTGCCCAGGCTGGTCTTGAACTCCTGGCCTCAGGTGATCCACCTGCCTCAGCCTCCCAAAGTGCTGTGATTACAGGCATGAGCCACCACGCCCAGCCTACTAAATTTATTAAAAAAATTTTTTTTCTTCAGTATTAACCTTATCTTACTAAAGTAGCTTTTTTACTTTATAAACTCCAACTCTTTTGTGATAACACTTAGCTTAAAATACAAATGCATCATACAGCTCTACACTGTACAGCTGTTTTATTTTGTTTTTGTTTTTGTCTTGAGACAACGTCGTGCTCTGTTGCCCAGGCTGGAGTGCAGTGGCGCAATCTCGGCTTACTGCAACCTCCACCTCCCAGGTTCAAGTGATTTTCCTGCCCCAGCCTCCTGAGTAGCTGGGATTACAGGTGTGTGCCACCATGCCCAGCTAATTTTTGTATTTTTAGTAGAGACGGAGTTTCAGCATGTTGGCCAGGTTGGTCTCGAACTCCTGACCTCAAGTGATCCACCCGCCTTGGCTTCTCAAAGTGTTGGGATTACAGGCGTGAGCCACTGCTCCCAGCTCTATAAGCTTTTTTCGGTTAATTTTTTTTTAACCTTGTAATCTTTTTTGTTAAAAACTAAGACATGAACACATTAGCCTTTGCCTACACAGAGTCAGGATCATCAATATGAGTGTCTTCTACCTTCACATCCTGTCCCACTGGAAGGTCTTCAGGGGCAATAACACCCAAGGAGCTATCTTCTATGATAATAGTGCCTTCTTCTGGAATCTCCTGAAGAACTTGACTGAAGATGTTCTTGAGGAGGTATCACTCTTTTCAGAAATCTGTTTATGGTGGTTTCCTTAGGTTTGTTTGTTTTTTATCATGGATTTACTTGTAAACAGATCTATGAACATTCCTCTCTAGTAATGAAAACCTTTCATTGTTGGGGTTCATGTTTTCAAACTTTTTATGGAGCTTGTTGAAGTCTGCAAAAAATTCTGCTAAATCCTTCACTGTATATTTTCTTGAGAGAATTTTCCAGCTGCATTATAAGCTTTTGAAACCACTGTTGTATATGTGGTCTGTGGTCAACTGAAACAATGTTATGTGGCACAAGACTGTCCCAATCGATGAGGTAATTCTAGTAGCTTATAAAACATCTTACGTATGAAGATCCGTGTCATTTCCCCCTGAATCAAGGATGAAGAAGAAAAAAGATCTGTTATTTTAAGTAAAACATATAATATTCAATAATGAATTGTGTTTGATTATAGTTTTTGAGCCCCAGTTTCTTTTGAGAATGGAATTGGTAGTTTACCAGTTAAGGAAAATGATTTAGAGTGACACTACATAATCATGGCAGTAAGTAGATGGAGTTCATTTTGTGTAAGTTAAATCTTTACATTTACAAATGTAAAGAACAGCCCTTTAAAAAATTGAGACTATTCTTTATAGGTTTTTAAATTTTAGTTTTTATATCTTACATTTTAGTTGAATGTTTTACTGAAATATATTTCATGTCATAGTATATATAAAAAAAGAATTTAACAAACAATGTCATCTAAGTGTAACTTTGTCTTCTCCAGGTTTCTGTCCTGAAGGGAAAAATATCTTGCCTGTTTTTAGTTCTACAAAAGTGGTTATAATTATTTGATTTTTCAACACGCAAACTAGATAGTATTTACATATGATATATTCTTTTTTTAGGTTTTTAATTTTTATTAAAGCTATTAATGCACATATGGATGAAAGATCAGAGGTGATCCCCAACTCTGTTTCTGTTTCTTCCTCCCAAGAGGCTACTGCATTGAACATTTTTAGCTGATTCTTTTGGTAGTTAGCTCCATATCAGTAAATGGTGTACGTATATTGCTGATTCTTGATGTTTTTTTTTTTGGTTTTAACCATTATGGAGGATGGGAATTTAGCTCTTTTATTCATTCTCCCTCACCAAATATACCTATCATATACTCTTCCAATCTCTCAGTTCTTTCAACATATTAGTAATTTTGATTAGATTAGTATTTGTTAGCAGATCTATTAGTAAATTATAGTTGCTATTCTCTATTCCTGTATTTTCATTTTCTCAGACTTAATAATAATTTATTTGCTTCACTTTTTTTGTATATACTACTTGGCAACTCCCAAATCTGTGCTTGTTTTCAAAATCAACCTTCAGTGTGTTC